GGCATGGTGGTGTTGGGTTGACGGTTGGACTCGATGATCTTGGAGGACTCTTCCAACCTTAATGATTCTATGACTTGCTCTTTTTAATAGTCAACAAAAGTCTTAAGTGACTGGTAGAACATCTGGGAATACAAGCATTGCATTAGGAATGCAGCAGCATTAGCAACAAGACTATGAAACCAGTTATGTCAGGTTTTTTGGTTTGTTTGTTTGTTTTTTTTCCATAGAAAATGAACAGCATTTACAAAAAACCTTATTTAAGTTGTCCACACTTTTAGCAATGTGTTGAACAATGTCACCTTCAGAGGTCCCTTCCAACCAAAATTATTCTAAGATTCACATTCATGAACTCCAAAAGAAACATTACCTTGCCGGGTCTAAAAAACACCTTGGTTAATCCAAATTTGTAATCGTTTTCATTCAGCCCCAAGGCTTTAAACAGTGCCTGAAACACAGAAAACAGCTAGCATTATATTCTGCCTCCTTCAAAAAAAACTAAAAAAATAAAAAAAAAAGTTCAAAAAGCAACAAACCCCCCACAATACATTTTCTGTCCTGGATGATATAGAAGAAGAATCAATTTTTTTCTTACCTTGCAAAAGAGCCGAGGATCCAGTCGAGCCAATTTTTCAGGCAAGTATTTCTTGTACATATTATATAATTCATGAAATGAAGCTCGTGAAGGGAAACCACCTTGCATCAAATCCAGAACAGACACCATTCCTAGATTCATAGAAACACAGGCACAAAAGTTGGTATGAGTAAAATGCAAATGAAGTAGTGATTTTAATGATAACCAGTAGTTCATGACATAAGCCTCAATGACATTTTTCAGACACTAAACACAAAGTTCAGCTGGGACTCGATCTAGCCTCTAACATTTCTTGATCATGTGATCATTCACAAAAAGTTAATACTGAATAGATGAGAAGAGTGCATACAATTTTCTCCCTATTTGAGAGGTAACACCCAATCATACAGAGGATTTTTTTCTAATATTTCTTCTAAATATTTCTTTCTTTTTAGCAGACTTGACATTTTAATTTTTAAAGAAAAAAAAAAACAACACACACAATGCCCGGCCAGGCTTTTATTTTCATCATGTCAATGATATTTGTGAGATGTGGTACAGATGCAGTGTCAAGTACATACCCAGTGCTAGAACATTTAATGTACTTGCACTACTAGGTGTAAGCTACTAAGGTGTAATTTTAATGTCCCTAATACTGTTACTACATTTTTGTCTGCAACTAGGACATCAGTAAAGCACAGACACAAAGTCAGTAAAAGGTTCAAATTACTCCAAGCAGCACAGGCCATGCCAGTTTTTGCCCGCTGCTTTACATAACCCCATCAACAGATTTTGCATGTAAGTTTTCAAGTTAGCCCTTAACTTGTGGTTGCCATCTTTAGACTTAATCTTTTGCGTATTTGCTGTCAATGGAAATTTGATTTGTTTACACTAAGTCTTTCTTTTTAAAAAAAGATTTCATAGCATTACATCTTGTTTTTTTAACATTACATATTATAACTTTGTTTTACTAGATTAAGCTCATTTACTGTTACTAAAGTAAGTACATATGGAAAAGTGAGCTCGTAAGATTACTGTAAAATGTTGCCATTATGGGGTGGGGGTGGGGGTGTAATTTGTTATTTTTTCCTCTCTGACATGCCAAATGCTGTTAACCTGAAGAAACCTACTGCTAATGAAGTTAATGGAATTCTAATGGCTGAAAAGTTGTTAAGCTTTTGTGACAATAACATGACATGTTAAACATGTGGACTTGTCAAAACATCAGCTACAGAACCTGGAAGTACCTTGACTTCAAAAAGAGAAAAAATTAAGCACAAGCTACTGAAAGTACAAAAATACAGAACAGGGCAAAAAAAATAAATATGGAAGTACTTTCATGAACAAACACCCTATGAAGAACAACAATACTAGCACTCTAATTCCCAAGCGAGCAGTTTCTACTGCTGTTCAGTGGGACATGAGCGAAACTGCTAATATTGTTTAAAATAAAGCTGTAAAATTGCAAAGCGCCTAGCATTTCAATAATAATGGAAATGCAGCATCGCAATCTGTAGTATATAAAGCAACAGGAAAGACTATGCTCAAGTGCCCTTGTTGGAAGTTCAGCTCCAAATCAAATTAACAGTGGTATAAAGAAATTTTGAAAAACTAAAACAAGACTATTCAACTCTACCATAGTATCTATAAAATCAAAGAAAACAGGTGTTTCAATTATTAGATATCTCAGCTAATACTGACTGCCTCTAAATGCACACAGGAGTTTAACACTTCAACTGCCACAATAATTTAAAGGAATTGTATTGTTCTGGACTGAACTGCTGCCCTATTAACATTGTGGGCAACACAGAGAGATGGGATTTAGCTCCAGGTCAGGAAATCTAAATTTATGTACCAATATATGGCTACATGGCTTCTTACATATGCACCTGGTGTCTGAACTCTCATTATAATCAATGGAAAAACAGTCGACAGAAATTACATCAACTCTTCTTGCGAAGAAGAGACCTTATGGCTGTTCAGATTAATTATTTCTAGGGTTCTATTAAAAAAATGAGAGCAAGTTACTAAGAATCTAAATAACTGTTCGTAAGGCATAAATAAGCTACCTTCTAGAAAGCAACAGTTCAAGCAAGGAAATACTGCTTCCATCTCATATATTTCAAACTTAGGTCAATCTATAATGCCCAAAGTAATAAACAGAGGGAAAAATATCAGAAACATACATTACCTGAACACTGAAGCTGAGAGAGGATCTGTCCTCCTTCAAAATGGTGATTTGTCATCTTTAAATTAGGTTTGATACAGCGAATAAAGCTAGACCCCTATTACCAAAACAAGAAGTTAGCAGACTCTACACATTTTTAAACTTCCTGAAATAACAGTTAGTCATTTAAGAATTATGGGTGGAGAAAAAAAGATAAAAAAATAATAGTATTCTAAAAGAGAAATGCTGACATTCTTCTTCTCTCATATATCAGTTTTGCACTCTAGCCTTGGTCTTGATGTAACTGATCTCAATGCTCAAGCTATTAATTGGATCCTCAACTTCTGAGTTTTCACTCAACTGTTCTTCTTAACATTAGTACAATCTAATTAGGATTTAGCTGTCTAGATTCTACTACCCTCATTATCTTCTACAGTCACATCACCTAAATGATGTGGAGGACCTAAAGTCCTCCAGAGTTCACATTAGTGAACATGCCACCAGCCTCCTGACATTGGAATCATGCCAGATGAACTTGACCTTCCTTTCTTCTAACTTTTACTTTTTACAGTTTCTTTTGGCTCATGGCTTCACTCTCCCTTCCCCCATGTCGTTCCAGTCTGCTCCCCTCTTATCACTGTGTGCACTATCTCTACAATTTTGACCACTGCTTTCTCTGATCGGTTCACATTCATTAAGGATGACATTTTTGCAAAACACCATCCAATTATTCAGATCTTCCTATAACAGGTGGCTGCTAATGATAACCTACCTTATATACTAAACCAAAATTGGGACTGAGAGAACATAATATTACTCCTGGTTTGCAGTGTCTTCTCTCTTTTTCCATCTCTCAGCTGAGAGTGAGAGAGCACCTGCTGTTAACAATACATCCTCAGTCATGGGTTAGCTAAACTCAGAGTACAGCAAGGCTGGCCACATACTTTTTCCCTGGACTGGGTCTCAGTTCCAGAGTGTTCTGTGTGAAAGAGATCATCTTCCTTTCAGACCAGCCTCATAAGTGCAGTAAAATCTTAATGTCTGCTACACTTCAGCACCTGTCCCATTTGTTTCCCATGTTTTTCCCCCTTTTTCTTTTTTGACAGAGCACAACCTCATATCTAGAATTGGTTAGAACATGCGATCAAGAGAAACAAGAATGTGTTCCTACAAGTTCAAAAAAAAAAAAAAAAGGTATGTGGAGAATTCCACAAACTATCAAATTACATCAGCTAAATTAGCAAATACTCATTAGAGGAATCAGGTTCTTTGACCACCTGTGCATCTACAGCCTATCACAAAAGTGAAATGAAACACTATTTTTAACAGCTTTATGGAATCTGAAAACAGTAATTAGTAATAAATTATGATCATCTGCCTTACTTCTAAGTAACATCTCTAAATCTTCTGCAAATTAGTCATCAATGATAACCAGTGAATAGAGGGAGGTAAAAGCGACAAAAAAGGAGACTGCAACCCAGACAAATTTCACATTGTTTACTCAAATTGTGTAACTTCCATTCTACAACAACTTTTTAAAAGGTGGTGGGTTTTTTTTTTTTTAAAGTAACTCAACAATCAACACCTGCACAGCAAGACGTTTCAGAAGTGCTGTATTACTGCAAACTCTACAGCAATTACTTATCACATTTATTGTAAGCCGTATTGTTGAGATAATCGATTATGACTTATGTCAGAAAATTATGAACCTGCATCTGTATATATACTTACAGTACTGTGAAGCTTCTCAAGAAGCAAATTTAACTGAGTCTGTAAAAGAAAACAGGTATTTCAAGAATCTTACCATGACGACTACAGAAATATACACACAGAATCGTGATATAGCATTATCGCATGCGTGTTTACTGTTAGTAAATCAGACAATTGATAAATCAAACGTTCACAAATTTTAACAGACAAAATCATGCAAGTGTGCATGAATGGTCCTGCAGAAATTGCTTGTGTTCAATTGTACAACAATACTGTATGGACTAGTTACTTACTATAACATAGTTATCAAAAAAAAAGTGCAAGCCCATTTGGGAAAATAAAGGAAATAATGCCTATGTAATAGAAGTATAAAGAAAATGAGACTGATCAGCAATAATTAAAAAAAAAAATACACTGAAAATCTGTGAAAGCCAGAATTTAATCTATAACAAGCATATATTTGCATGTTAAATAATTAACACAGAAAACATATGCTCAGGGTTTTCTTCATTTTTTTGAAGCGAAGTCAACATTTAGGTGAATGAACCTGCATAATCTATTTTTAGTTCCAAAATTCCAAGTTTTTAGTTCTCTGTTGATGACAATAGACTATAGTTTTACAATCACATTTACTGAAGCTTGATTTCAACATACTGTGATGAGACAACGCCACAGTCCTATGATTATTTGGGAGCAAGTCTACAGGATCACCAGAGACTTAAGACTATCAGGGAAAATGAGTTACAGTTGCTATTGAATGTAACTGGTAGGGACTTAAAATATTCCAGAACCACATCAGGAAAACAGCTGCACTTTTACTTTACAAATGTGTCTGTTTTATCACATAGACTACTGCTGTGCCAGCCTTTCTAGTTTACTAGCAAGCATTAAGTATATAGACTGAAGTAAGACAAAATTCTGTATGTCCTAACATATTCCTCGTTTTCTGTACTGGAACCAAAATTGAAAGGATCTGACTTTTGACTAATTTTTTTTTTTTTTAACCAGATGTTTCAATTACCTTGAATCCAAGAAACTAGGTTTGAATGGGCAACGTGCGTCACCTACAGCTGCCAGTCGTCCTTCCAGTGGATAAAATCGGTTTGGGATTTTTTTAACTTATCATGGATATGGTTAGAAAGAGAGAAGGAGTGCCAAAAGAGGTATGACAAACACTAATAACCTCCTGCTCAGTTCTCACGTACACGTACTCTTTATATCTCTACTTGAATATAATCTTTATGTTTTCTTAAGTTAGAAATGCTTAATTTTGGAAGGGACAGACTAATTTCCATCAACAAAATACATTTCTGCTAGAGGAAAAATACCCCTTCCTTATACTCTGTGATTTGACAAGAAATAAGCCAGAGCCATTCTCAGGTAAATTTCACTAATGAAATGATCATATGAATAAAACGTATTGCTAGAACTACTGCTCTTTGAATTATCACTATTTAATCCATCATTACCATAGTAAGGTAAAACCATCCCAAAGATTCTTGAGTAGATCTGATGAACTAATCATTATTTCTTCAACTGATTTACAAGAATTAATTTTAATTAGTTATAAGGAAGGGATGTGTGAAGGATTTCATAAAGAGAAGTCCCTGCAACATCATATAATAATTGATGTAATTAGAAGAATTTGAGACTGACTTACATACTGACGCACTAAGAATTCTTATTCTTAAAGAGATGAAATTTCTACTAAGATAATAGAACTTATTTTGATGTCATCTGAAGTGACATTTAAGGCTATTAGTGTTCATCAGCAGCACACGTGGTGTCTGGGAAGGTAACACTAAATGAATTACTGGAATTAACACATACATTCAAAATGCCATGAAACTTGAAAACACTGAAAGAATTATAGATTGATGGGCCAGATCCAAAGAGGACTTTAGTCACGTTCTAGGTGCAGAGGTGAACTCCGAAGTCCAAAAGGCAATCCAAAAAGTTCCCCACTCAGTTGCTGCTTAACTTTAAAAATGCCTCCCTTTTTACTTCAGTCCTCCTTCGACAATGGTATCATTCACACGTCCACATGTACTGGATGTGGGGTGCTAAATCTAAGAGGAATTGAAAACCCAGATGGAAGAAAGTGGAAGCTATCTCAAAGATCCCACAGTTGGTTTCATTCTGAAAATGCAGTTATAAAAACCAATGGATCCTAGCTTCACATACAAAAGACTCATGGTTGCAGGGTTTGCTCAGAAGATGGCTTATCTGTATGTAATTTCAGTCTGCCTTCTGATTGCGCATTTTATACTGAACAACTGCTACAGTTTAATTCTACAACTGCTATATTAGAAGGAGGAGGAAATACTAGTCAGAGCAAAACTCGAGAGAGCAGGCTGCCCAATTCCCAGTTAAATACCAAAACCCCTACCTTACAAGTCAGGCTCTGTCTCCTACTCGTCCTGGCCCCATCAAAATTTTATTTCTGGCTACATAGCAACCCATCTCCAGAAGGGTATAAGGAGAATCCCCTTTGCCAGACTGACCAATAACTTGGCGCTACGGCAAATACAGTAGACATAAACTACTGAATACAGTATAGACCTGAACCAGAATACTGTTGCTATACAAAAAGCAAGTGATGCTACCATATCCTTCCTGTTCTTCAGCCCCTGCATTTTTAGAGAACAGTTCTAAACACTAGCCACAAGGTACGACTATGCAAGAAGGAATTTATCTTCCAGTCCTGATTCAGCACTTAACCTTGACATGGAACAGAAATGCAGAAACGCTCTTCTGCTATTGGCAGTGGCCCACTCTACACAAAGGTTTTTGGATTGTCTAAGATACCTGCTTTCCCCAGGGACCGCATAAGGAGCCTAGCTAGGAACGTGATGTGGCATTTTAGGTGCCCTAGGTAAGGCAGCATACGAAAAATGTTGCGGCACTTGACTTGAAGGCATACAAATCCTTCATTGGATCTGGCCCAGATGTGTTGAGAAGAGCTCTTGCTGAAATTGCAGCAGCTCTACCAACAGAAAATCCATGAGATTGAAAAATTTACCTGCAGCCCATGGTTGTGCCTGCTTTTCATCTCTTAATTCCCCTATAGTTCTCTTTCTAGCCATCCTGAGCTGGAATAGTCCAGCTAAAATAAAACTGCTGAATGAGAAAAGGGTGCAGATAACATTTGGAGAAGGCAAGGTTTGAAGGTCAGCTTTACAACAAGCAGAAGAAAGGAGAAAATGAGGAGAAGCATCAGATACAGGTATTGAGAAAGGAAACATTCAGCACAATGAACATCTTTCTGTGAAAGCCATGACTGTCTTTACATTTCAGAAGAGGAAAAACAGTGGTTAGGTTAGGTACTGAATTTTGAGGACACCAAACTGTAGCCAATTGATACATCTTCTAGAATGCACAATTAAGATAGTATAGAAGAACACCTTTTGTCACATTTAGAGCTCCTTCAAGTCCACAGAATCCAAATTTAGATCTCAAGACTCTAAATCTTTTGAATAAAGACTTCCATGTGGCTTTGTAAAATTCTGTCTTAAAAGTTACTGTATAATCTCTGTAAGGACTGTTATGAAACATCTTTTTGACAGAAACACATAGCATGTAGCTTGAATATACTGGTTTCTTATAATTCAACAGAAAAAACATCTTATTTACCAAAGTTTTCTTTGTATGAATCTCAAGTTACCACTAGTTCTCCCAACCTTATGTTCTACTTATTCCAAGTAACTTACAAGTGGCATATATTACAAGAAGATAAGATTCTTTGCTATATTATGTTACCTTGAATTTGTTTCCCACACTGATGAAACTAAGTTTCCCAGCTTTTTGTTTGGGATCCTTGTTGTTGTTAGTGTTAGATTCAAACAGTTGTCGAACAAACTTGTCCTCGGATTCACATATAAGAGATTCAAGGGACATGTGCAAAGCATCATTGTTTTTTTCCACAAACTGCATCTGAAAAGACAACCCAAAAAATAATAGTACATTTGTTTAACTGCCCCAGTTACTTAAGTCTTAAAGAAAATTAAAGAAAACAATGTTATATACTTTAATTCAAAAATCAGCAAGAATATGTGGGGTAAATATTTATACATTATTTCAAACAACTTTTCAACTCGACACACAAAACACTAATGACAGAGAGAAAAGACAATTCTTAAATTTGATGGATGTTGGAATCAAGAAACCCAAGGTAAGGTTTAGTGCCTTTTAAAGATCACTTGTGTTTTCATCAATGATTATCCTCCTTGTTTCCATTTCCAGCACTCAGCACATCATCACTTGGGAGTTTTGAGAAGCTTAATTCTTCACCGTTTGTAATATCACTTAAGATCCGTTGTGAAATGGGAATTAACATGCACACTTTAATTGGTGCATCTACACAGTTTGGAAAATAAAATGCAAAATGGTTATTTTAGTAGTACTATGACTATTTAAGAACAGGTGATTTAATAAAAGATATTGTCCCTTCCTACAAACCTTACCTCTCTGGCTTATTTAAATTGGCTCACTAACTTTTAGAAGTTAAGAACAATACATTACAGTGAAATTCAGAGATCAAGACACTAGTATCCAATTTCACACTAACAAAATTCTCAATAGCTTTTGGTGCAACTTTAATAGTGACTTTGATATTTATGAACAGAAGAGGCCAAGACTAATTTGAAGAAAATATGGATTTGCCAGATATCCCATAAAGGGATGAGAATGGTGATGGAGAATCAAAGGACAAGCACAGGCCTCCAAAATTCCCTTGGACTATGAAAACACAAGACTGGAATATGAATGCAGCCAGAGGAGCGCTCTCACCACAAATCAGATAGTGAGAACTGCCACAAGTGCAGAGAAAGAGAAACAAGTAACAGGTGAGGTACAAGGCAGCTATAGTCCAAAATTTTTAAGGCCCAAGCTAAGTCCCTCTGAGGGAGGGAATAAATTAAGTCAAGCATATTAGCATAGCTTCTGGACCAAAGCTACCTCATATCTGATTAGCTCTGACAGCAGAGCTTAAATGCTCATATCTGGCTCCTCTGCTCCTGAAGACACTCTAAGGTATTATTAACATACCATGATGAGGTACACAGTTAAACACAGAGCACTTGGGACAAACGTGTTCCAATTTTATTTATTATTTTGATATTGACTCACTGAGTGACCTTAAAAAAATCAGGTAGGTAACACACAGGCTTCAATTTTCTTATTTGTAAAACGACCTACAGAATGTGCCTACTTCAAAACAGCACAGCGATCACTATCATTCTTAGAGCATTTTGAAGTAAATAAGAACAAGCCCTTAAAGTACGCATTTTCAAATGACAAAAAAGCATCTTTGGAAGTAGCTTCCCTCTTACACACCAGAGTTACAGACCAGAACAAGAAAGCATTATTGATCTTTTGTTTATTCTAAACTTTTATTTTTTTAAAAAAAAAAGGTTTTAGATATTATCTTCAGGTGTTTCAATGTTTTTGTATGATGAATAGTCAAAAAAGTACAAGAATCTGGAATGTATTTTGAGGGTAGCAATTTCAGGTATTTCGTACTCTTACATGAATGATTCTATTGCCAGTAGAAATGGAAAACAAAAAGTATAAACTGTGACTTTTAATATAACATAAACAGTGATTGCATACAAGGATAGGAGTAACTTTTTGGAAGCATGCTTAAGTCTGACAATACTTTTATATTACATAGTATATTCCTCTCCCCAAGATGCAAATGTCTGTTGATGTAAGATTTGCAGTAGATGATGAATCACTCTATTTAATATCGATGCCATTACCTATAGATTTATAACACTCTTACACAAAATATGTCACCAAAACAGTCTGTAATCTGAGAAGTTAAAGGAAACTGTCAATTCTGTCACATACTCACAAAATTAGTTTCAAAGCTAAGACATATCAACTTTTGAATTTCTCTTCTGATGAAAGGAAATTTTGTTATTTAACCTATACACACTGAAAAATACAAAAGTACTACAAAGCATAACAAAAATAGTTTTGCGTAAGTAAAATTACCGTCTCATAGCATACTGCTCCTGCAAAATGTCGGATAATAAAGCCTTCATCATCTCTGATATTTCTGTGAACAGCCAGTTTAGACTTTCTAGGAATCTGGAATTAAAAAGTTGAATTACAAAGAAGAATTACACTGGAGAGCGAGGAAACGTTCATTTGTAAAACATCACCATGATTCTGCCCAGGAGCACTAGGTGTTAAAAATGACATTTCCTGCAGTACAATTCTGATGACCACTGCCATTCTCATTCAAACCAAGATATTCCAAAAACCTATTTTCATTCTCATTCACACCCTTAGATATTAAAAATAAAAGTCACCAGGGTAGCTAACACCAGCTAGTTGATTTTCTTTTTGCCTTTAATCAACAATTTCTATACCATTCATTCCACAGTTGATGAATAGCCTTGTCATATGAATAGGATTAGATAGAAGTTTAAAATGTTTTTAGATGGTATATTTTAAAAGGCAACTACCCAGTTGATCGTACCCATAGCGACAAAAATGTTTCATTGCACAGCCATGCAGTTAAGCAAGACTAAGTGGAAACTGAAAGAAAGGTAAATGGATTACAATTTTGTTTGGCTCCCTTTGCATGCATTTTTTCAGCAGGGAACTAACTTTTTTTTTTTTTTCATTTCAACAGAAGTCATGTCCATAAATTGCAATAATTTGCATTAATCTTCCACAGAGTGCAGTATATTAAAGAATTAACAACAACAAAAAGGTTTTCCTTGTGTGTTCCCTATTTTCATCTCTGGAGTGCTAGCTAGACACTCCATGTGAGTCAGATATTCTCCAAAGCAAGCAATTTTTGAAAGGAACAACAAAATAGCTCATCCGATATGAAATAATCTAAATTCAAATGTGTTTCTATTTCCTTTTCATGCATTACATGGTAACAAACTTCAAATGTAAGTGAAGAATATAAAAAAATCAGCAGGATATTAGAACTGCTAGAATACTTAAGCCTTCAGTGAACTTTTCAACAAACCTAATAACCAAACTTGTCCTTAACAAAAGAATATGGATTGTGCAGACTGGTGCAGTATGAGATTTCTTAGGAAAGGTTTTCATTAAATTGAAGTGTTACTGTCAACTGTTCCAAGAACTGTTTTATTAAAACAAGACAGATAGCAAAAATAAACCTACAGAGAGTCTGAAATGGTCCTTGTGTTTTTGGTGCACAACTGAAGTAAAATGCTGGTCGCTTGGTTGGGGAAGACGATTTTCTTCATCCAAAATATCCAGTACACCTATTAATTTTGCTTCAATCAAATCTATTAATAAAACAAAACATGTTTACAAAAATTGAATATATAACCTCATATCAGAACTGAACATTACAAGTTTAAAATGCTACTGATCCGATTCTGTACGACAGTATCTAAGGAAAACTGTTAACACAAAATACAAAATGTCACTGCAAATTAATTCTACGTATCTGAATTGTTGATTTAATCGATATCCTATACTTACCAAGTTCTAACTCTAACAGAAGGAACACGAGGGAAAAAAGATCAGGCATGGATTGTTTGATTTTTACCCTGGGTCTCAAGTTGAATTTAGTCATCTAATTCCCAAAAAGTGCCTAAATGTTTCTGTGGTACAACCATAGGTCTTTATGGGATAATTGCTTATATTGTTGCGTTTTTGTTTTTTTTTTTTTAAAGCTTTTCATCCATGTTTCACCACATGTCAAAACTAAAAGCATGAAAAGGCACATACTTCATTCACAACAGGATCCAAGGAGAAAAATGAAATGCATTTGTTTTAAGAAAAGCAGATCAGACTTGAGCATACAGTGGTAGTTTCACAACTTTTTACAAGTGTATTCCCTTGACCTTTCACATACATATACAAAAGCCCTTGAAAGCTGACATAGAAATTCATGCTCCTGAAACTATTAGACACAAGAATTTTGCAGCTTTTAAAACTTTCTTGTATTATCTACGAAACTGTTCTTGTAAGAGGAATTTTAACTACCTACTTTTTCTTCTGTGTAAAGGAAGAAATGACTAATGCTTGTAGTGCAGCAATGCCTATGAACTCTTACTACAGATCGTAAATGGTATGAGGCTATATATAAAGCACAAAGAAAGCCCCGATCCAAAGAATTTATGCTTGTAAAATCTGAATAAGCTAATTTAGCTGCAGAGATGCTAACATACTAATGACTGTTTCTAAGATTCTTCCACAGAGTTAAAAATTGTCCATGTCAATATAATATCCCTCTCTTTTGTGACAGTTAATATTTCTACATGTTCACTGCTGTCACTAGCCTGGTCCAACACCTTAAACAAAATTGTATTTCGACAGAAACCAACATTATTTTTTTCACTCACTTTCAAAAGAAACCCCTTTTCTCCTGACTATGCAAGAACAGAGAAGAGGCACACGTGCTGTGGTTTAACTAAGCTATAATTTTATTAACTTATCTAAGAATAACTCATACAATGAAGAAATGTGTCAAATCTGTGGTGGGGTGTCATATGTTGGTTGGAATAGTAAAAGGGGTCATGACTGAGGGACTTCTACTTGTACTGTTAGGAAAGCTGCCCAAACCTTTTCTAGGGCATGAAAAGGCAACAACTTGGCAACAATCTCTACAACCTGACCCATGTTTCCCCTATGAGTCAGAGAGAGACCTTTTCTTCCATAGGCACCAGGGAACCCCTTTTGACCCTGACATACATTTCAAAAATAGAAAATAAAAAAAAACCCACGCACTGGGGGCAGAAGCAACCCTTTTTATAGAAACATGACAGTCTCTAAACTGTAACAACATTTTTGGGAACAGGGTCAGGCTCATAGGCACGTTACTAAACACATTATTAAACCACTAGAAGAGATAAGATTTGTATTCATAGAAGTCACGTATTTCCTGTTGCTATGCTTTTTTTCCCTCCTCCAAATACCTTCCTGTTGCTTTTTCACAAGATGGCTAAGAGGTTTGCTCAACAAGAGTTGCCTTTAGTTAAGTCAGAGTTAGTGATTACACAGTCCTATCTGCCAAAGTGAAAACTTCTTCAGCAGAGCTACAGAAACTCAGAAGAACCAGACATTTTGCAACAGATGTTAAATTCTGTCACACTCTGCTCAGCCAGGACTGACTAGTTACCATAAGCAAATTACTGTAAATGCAAAAGCAAAATGAATACACCAATTTGGAGAACACAAGTTGAACACGGAGGAAAAAAAAAAGCCAAAACAAAATTACATCATCATCTTAAGCCTTTGGTATATATTAGTCTGTGGAAGCCTAAAAGCAGCAGTAACATCTACAGCCTGTTGCCTATAGTTCATTTTGTTTCTTTGCTCGCTGGCTCAAAACAGGTGGGGGGAAATGAGATGGGATTTTTTCAATTCATGGAATATTTTTCCCCAGACACCCTCACACCCTCTTCACTTTATTTACCCTATTTAGGTGTTCTAATTAGTTTTCTAGGAAAATGCACAAGAAATTCACAAGTCCCAGCTGCAGTTATCACACACTGTAGGACAACATGGCTCTATTACCAACCAGAACTGGAATGTTATACAAAGCTGGAAGAATTCACGAGGTTGCAACAGTCATTAAAAGCATAAAATTACTAGTGCTACGCATATTTTGCCTCTTCTGCTTGAAGCTTTTTTCCTCCATGACGCTAACGAATAGCTTGACATTTCAAGAAGTACATACCTATACAGTCCTGATTATCTACATAGCGCACTTCATTAACCCCCAGGCCTTCTTTTTGGTAAAGTTCTTGTTCCTAGAAAAAAAAAAAAAAAAAAAGTAACTGAAAAGAGAAAACACCACTCACCATATATTTTTTTTACCCACCAAAAATGTTTTTTTAAATAAACATGAAGACATTTTTAAATACACCATGAATCAACACAAATTTTAGTATTTCCTTTCACAGCTTAATATATTCTAACTTCACCTCCTTAATGATATGCCCATGCACTTAGATACTCCCATTAGGTATGAGATATTGTCCAGTATCTGGATGCCTCATTTTAATGAATGGTAAAAAAGACGACAAAAAAAGATGGTTGGTTTTCAAAAAGCCATATTCTTTTCTGGCACTACCAGATGTCACACAGTAGGAAAACAGTTTGTCAACTGAATTTTTTTTAATCTAAGCATAATGTGCAATCTTATGGAAAGCAGTGCTACTTTAAGTATCTCTTTACTAAAAAAATAAATCCTCAAATATAACATTAAATATAACATACCTCTTTCAGAATCCTTTCATTAAAAAACTGCTGCAGTTTTTCATTACAGTAGTTAATACAGAATTGTTCAAAACTGTTGTGTTCAAAGTATTCTGAAAAACAGAAGTTGAACTTCTATGATAAACCAGTTTTCCAAGAATTTATATTACATAGTAACTAAGAAAAGCTTCACCGTGCTAATATTTAAAGATGTGTTCAGATCCATGTCTGTTTCTTTCAGTAAAATAAAACCTTTTACAGATTTTCAAGTTGCACATAATACAGATATAAAAATACTGCGGCAGACAATATTTCTAAGACAAATAACAGACAGTTATATCTGGCAGCAAACCAAAGCAAGATGCTACCATACAGTGAAACTGCGCCAATACATCCTCATGCATCTATGTTACAACAGGCTGGCACAGGATATCACAGCTCTGAAGACCTGAAAACCAAAGGTTCCCTTTTTCACTGTTCTTGGACCACCTTAGCAGGGCGAGAGCACACCAGAAAATATGCCCTGTTCTGAATCTCAGGGAGCCAAACAGGACGAAAGCTTTACGGGAACCATCAACGCCCACCACTTCCAGGGAGCAACCAGGAGCCCAAAGTCCAACTCTGTAACGGAACTACCCAGCCTCCAGGAAACATAATCTTAATTCAGAGACTTCATTTGCCTGTCTGTCAGTATGCAGTGATCTTCTCAGGATTGAATGGGAAAACAGCACGCACATGCAATATCTTTCTTAATTTTACTGGGTGGCCACAGTAAGATTCCATTCCAAACTTTGAGTCCTTCAAAACCTGTGTCTATGTAGACACTACAGGAATCTGAAACCATTACAAAGGTGCCTAGTTTCACACTAACGCTTGTTAGTGTTATTAGGTCATCAGGAGAAGCTCTAGACCTTCTCTACATTCTTGTATCTCAGGAAAATGAGGCTTTATCTGCTCTCTTGATATCTTCTTAAGCCGTTGTAAGCCATCCCACCCACCACGACCAAAAAGAAAACCCTCCCACTCTCCATTACAGAATTTATCATTGAATCTTTGGTGGCAATAATAGATGAATAGAAAATTTATTATTTTTCTTAAGTATACTTACCAAAACCAGCTATATCTAGAACTCCAATGAAGAAAGAAGAAGTCTCAAATGGAAAACACTGGTTTACCCGGTTCACTACATGGTCAAACAGATGACTATAAACCGTTTTAGCCAAGGCATCACGAGCATTGTTTGCTTGTTCCACTTTCAAGGGTACCCTAAAAAACAAAAATACAGATCTTATTTTTCAGAATTCCTTACTCTGAAATACAGAGATTAGACTCTAAACTTAAAAAAAGCCTTTCCAATTATTGTAAATTAGGACACAAAAAGCCCTGAGCTCTAGGCCCAGGTAGGAAACAATCTTGCCAAGTTAGACTATCTTACCTGTAAAAAGAAGGAATAATGTTTTACTATCCTCAGTAGAAGTGAGATGCAGATATTTTCACTCTCGTTCATTAGATAATTAGAAACTATATTGATAACTGCCAGAGAAAGATATTTAAAATATATACATTCCTATCTACAAAAAAAAAAATTCAACTATATTTATGAACTGCCTAATTACAATAAAACCTATAGTTCAGTTTTGCTGTGACACCTTTGTCCCTATGTTTTCATAAGGGCTATAACTAAAACTATAAGGCTGTAAATTAATCAGTAACAAAAATTAAAAAAACATAGACAAGGGAGTGTGTTCTCATGGTGAAAGTTAGATGCAATGCTGAAATAAGGATTCTTTTTAAACACTGGAAGAAGGGGCCTTTTAAGAGATGAGAATTTATTCTCCCTCCCTTATTTATAAACCTTTATTCTGCATTGTGACTATTTATTACAAGTTTATATCCCAGTTTAGCAGTTAAAAAAAAACAACAAAACCCCCATGAGTCACAACCTCAAAGCTTATGAAATGCATGACAAAACCGTAGGAATATCAGGCAAATATAACTACATATTTAGCTATACATATAATTATATATATAGCGCTATTTCCTAAAGTCAGTATGACAGTGACACGCTTAGCATGCATGTATTTCAAAGCACCTTTAACCACCTCGTTTCCTGGATAAGTACATTCTACAAGACTTCTGGGTTTTTTTTAAATAGGTTTCAGATTAATAGATAAGAGTACCAAAACTAAAAAAAGTTACACTGTACACAGCTGAGGAAGCAATTGTAGATGTCTCTGGAATAAAACAATTGATACAAGGATAAAGCCTTAAGGAAGCACTTAAGAAACAATGTGAAAGGAGTATGAAAAACGAACTTTCCACTTTATGGTATGATTGCAAATTGTCCTTAGATCCTAATCATGTTGCCAAAGAATTCAAAAGCACAAGTCCCACTAATCTGAACAGAATCAGACCAGAACAGAATCAGACTGTCAAAGATCAAAACTCTCCAAAGGATTTTTACATGTCAATAAAAAAATATAAATATAAAGGAAAAAAGATTAAATCGAAATACTGGTAGCCCCTTGACCAGACAGCATCAAAATTTCATGCATGGAAAGAAGACCTACAATTTAGAACAACTATGGGTACACAAAGGCTTTACACAACACTGTATCATGACACACAGGTAAATATATTGATTTACCAATGTTAAAGTAAATCAAAAGAAGAGATTTTTAGGGACAGAGCCTTCGCTAACTAAACTGATAAAATCTTCAGGGAGGAACAGGGAGAAATAATGTCAAGATTTTTATCACACCAATCCTCTTTCTCATGAAGAATACAGGATGATGGCCGTATGCCAGAAGCCCTTATGCTTTTTCTAAATATCTCAATCAGTTGGCTTAATAAAACAAATCACTTCTCCCCATATAATACCCTATATTACTTCTCTGCATATACCTTGCCTCTCATATCCTTGGACCACCAGCACTACAATAACGATTAGTAATAATCAAAGGATGGACTGTCCATCTGAGGTGGTGGATAACCAATCATGGAACTTCTCAAGTATGCAGCAAATCTACGTTTGAAAAATACCTCTTATCTGAACTGTTCAAGTAAGCCCTGTGTGCAAGGTTCAAGACATCACCGCTGCAGAACTGCCCTGTCGCCCCCTCCAGGTAGTTTTCTGTACACAGGAGTACAAAGAACTGGTGGGTCAGAAACGGAAAACCTAATGCTACACAGCTTATCCATATTGCATCATTTTCTTCACTTCCCAGGATTCACAAGCACTAAACTAACTCATAATTAGTATTTATATATTTTTTCAAGGATGATACTACTGATGCAGAAATATGAGACTGATGGAAATCACTTTCTATTGTGACTGGTAAGTCAGGGAACCAGAGATTCTGTTCACTAAAGACACCTGCAGCAACATTATATTAGATAGTAATTAGCTTTAACACACAATCTTGTCTTCCACTAAGTATCTCCTGACTTATCTTAAGGTAACGAGTACTGACAGAAATCTTATCTTATAAATAGAAGGAAGGTACCTTTACATTCCATTCTGATACGTTTAAGAGATCAGAATACTAATTCCCACATGCCAGCTGCAGGCCTATTACATAATACAATACACATTTATGCTTTCAACTTCCTTTTTTAAAGTATGTTAAACAACACAGCAGAGTCATATTTCTAGAGCATGTATTTATAAAATGGCCCTGTTCTTCAAACATAACAAATTCTACCATTATTAAGTAGAACTCCAGAGACTGCACAAAACCCTATTGTTATTTTAAATTATCATAGTATGCAACAGAAACCCACGGAAAGAAAACGTAACTCTGCAACGTGTTCTGCACAGCTGAAAGTACAGAACCACAAAACAATGCTGAAATTGCACTGAGCCAGTCAATACAGAAGAGCCCTATTACAGAACTAACATTCGGCATAAGCAACTCCCTTCTTGTGAACTTGCTTTCCCTGAGCTCCTCCTTTCCTCTGGTCTGCATGCTGACAAAGGAACCTCTTTCCTGCTCCTGTTTCTTGTCTGAACAGGAAAAGATGTGTCTTCCCTTCCTCCATTTCGCCTTCTCCCCCTCTCCTCCATCCATCAGCTACTTGTAAGGAACAGAGAAGAAATTCTTCCAATTTTCTAAGCTATTTGGTAAAGCTGCAACAAAAAAAACTTGTTTGGTCTTCGTACTAATTTCTTCAGCAAGGTTTCCAGTGAACCACTGAGTCTGAGGCCTAGGGGAAAGCACTCTCACAGGCTGAATTTACCCTGTGGACGACAGTCTCCCAAAATTTTCCAGAACAAATAAGCTGTTTCAAATACTTAAATTTAAATAATTAAAATATGTATAATTTGCCCATGGTTTTCAACAATTAAGAGACAGAGAGCAGGTGAAGCAATACCTGTCAATCACTGTCGCCCAATCTGGTTACTGCTTCACAAAAAAAATGGCCTGGATGAAGTAACCCTACCTAGTGAAAGGCCTATGTAATTAAAGAATATAAGCAGCACATTTGTAATTTAAGAAAAGTTAAAGTTCCAAAAACTGTACAAAAATATTTTTTTACAAAAACATAATTTTGAAGGGACTAGCCTCCCAATGTTTTTCCAACAGAAGCTTCAAGTACTACCACAAAAAAAAAAACAAACAAACAAACACAAAAAAACACATTTTGGTAGAAAACATATTCCAAAAGAAGATGGAGAACCTGGAACGATGTCAGTTTAATTTTTCACACTGTAAAATAATTTACTTTGTGATGACGGAGTTCTGTTTGAAAGTCTTCTTGGAAAGGGAGAAACTGAATAAGAGATTAGTACAGTGCATTTACAGTCCAAGAGGTGTACCAGCTTTTGAATATTAACACATCATTTCTCTCTGTTAACACACTTTACATGGATGGCAAAAACATCAGCTGACAAGGTGATCATTATGCTCTTTTTGGGAGACTAACAAGGACAGATAAATGTAGTGCAACTGTCAAGTCTCCCTGGCAGTCCACTGCACATTAGTATTTAATAAAATCCATGGAGAGAGCATTTAGCATCACCCTCCTACTGTTCCTTGTTGGCTCCATTGTGCCCAGCAGAACAAAGCCTTTTTTATACTCTGAGCACAGTGATTTCAGCTGAGCTATTTATTCGCTGTGACCTATTAGGACTCACATGATCTACTTGCACACAAAAGGTCCCTAAGAAAGAGAGAGAGAAATGCGTAGCTCTTTAGGTTGCTGGAACAAAATAAACCAATGTACTTGTCAAAACTCTAATATTGATAGCAATCAAATAGTTTCTAAACTATGCTACCATAGAAAAACCTGGTGGCTGTTTAATATCTAGAACAGTCCAATCCACTTTCCTTGTACATGCAGTAAGCCACAAGAGAAGATACTAGTGTATTTATTAGCATATGTTTGCTTTTAACTGCACAAGTTTAGAAAAGGCTAGAGAAAGAGGCTTAATGCATTAATCCTTTAAGATGGTGGAAGGAGTCCTCTGAATTAGTTTTTGCAATCCACAAAATGAAACATTGGGGAAAAATAAGATCTGCTGGCACAAAAACATAGCTCCTTGTGTTTGCAGACTTTTGAAAAAGTACACTGCTAGCAACGCCCCAGGCTTATTGGGATAAATATGCTGGAAAATCTTTAGTGTCTTAATCCTAAGTGAATTTGAAGCTGTGACAAAAATTGTATTTGTTCTTAAGAAACCTTCCTTGACAGGGTCACTTGAGATGTGATGAAAGGGAAGCAGTATATTATGATACACCTTTGCTTTAGTGCTTGATATGTCACACCAAACATTCTCAAAAGAAAACTATACAGACATGCTTTATCTATATGTTATGTGTACAACAGTCAAAACTAATCTGTTCTCAGAGGCTGAGTGAACAGTTTACTGAGAGCTTTTCCAGTGGGGTGCATCTGAAGCCAACATGGATGCGGTTTGTTCAAACCCCTTCTGCTCCTAGTTAACACTTTCACTTAAAAGGAATGCAAAAGTAAGGGTATTTTCAAAAAAAGGTCTGATAATACTGAACTAAGAAAGCAGAAAATCTTGGTAACAAGATTAGCATACAAAATTATTTTCACAAATTGAAGATATGATCTAAAAATCCACAAGATAGATTTTGGTAAAGGAAAGCGTGTGGTGGTATACTGGGAAGAATTCAAAAATACAAAGGCAAGATGGAGAATAACCAGGTAAGCAGTGAGTCAACAGAGAAAGATCAGCAGTTATAGTGGATCACAAGCTGAATTAAGTAGAAAATGTTACTAACTTTCAAAACCTGCAATTCTCACAGCACTGTGTGTTAATGAGTATCATCTGTACTGCATAATATATAATTTTCTACTCTAATGTTATCTGTAATACTGATAAAGGGTCTCCTGGACAAATATATCAAAGATTTTGCTATCAACTTAGACATAGTCCGGAAGAGAGCAAATAGTAGAACTTGGAAAATATTGGCCACTGGAGGCACTTTGTCCTGCAAGACCCACGTCTTCCTACATGTAAAGGTAAAGAGAAAATTATTTTAACTTTCCATATCAGCTGATAAGGCAGCAAGATGACAGTGACTAAGAGTCCCCAATTTCTAATAACTGGGTGGGAGAGGAGGAATTTATAACCACTTTCCAGAAATGCACTATTGAATATATTACGAAGAGATCTAGATCTCGAGCTTTTAACCGAAGGCAAAATAAACCCTCCCCAATCGTTACTTACCATTTGACACTGCATTATAACTTTTTCCATGGTAGTCACTATGAAGTTCTAACTCTTGAACATCCCTTCTTTCAAAGTACAGAAATAAGAGATCACCAAGAAGTCTACTTGTTTACTCTGTCTAGAAATACACCTCAAAGGTCAGCTATTCAGTAATAAAGTATTACTGGAACAACAGTCCATACCCATGCTAAATTTAAGACTCCTGAATATGAGTTAATTCAGAATAGCTTCTGCATTCCCCTAAAAAACCCCATGATGTTCAAACAGCACAGGCTCTCACTGATGGTTTATTTTGCTCGAATTCTGGCCAGGAAGATCAGTTTCACCCTGGAGATCAGGAAGCAGGCATTGAACAGTATTTCCACTACAGCTATTCTCTTTTAATTTATCATTATTAGTTAGAATTAGGTAGAGATCAAGATTACTTCTCTTGCACAGAATAAGCTCTTGACCACTGGAAACCTTCATTACTCAAATCCATTACATCCCTTGAGGACTAAAAAAGCCAATGCTCTCAAGTACTCCAAGATCAACTTTTCATCTCCTAAGTCTGACATAACTTAAGCATGCATTAACTAACACCTGCCACCTTTACTGGCTACAGTGACATACCAAGGTTAAATCAATCAGCTGTTACTTTGTTTCAGTCCGGAAGTTTATGAAATGTTAACACATACTTCATACTATAAGACATAAATATAAATGATAGTAATAAATTTCAAAAGACATAAAATACGCAAGGAACTTATATAAACCACATTAATACAGTTAATTATGGCTTTCACGTATTAAACCACTGGTGTAATGTGCATGAAGTTCTATTTCCGATTCACTAAAACAATCTGATTGTTTCCATAAGTCAATAAGAAGCACCCGTGCATTCTTCCAATGAGTGACGTGAATGTTAATTAGTTTCTTAATTAAAAGATCGATGCATTCAGCTAAACATTGAGAATTACTTGTAATGTGCTCAAAACTGTTTAGCCCAAGTTCAGTTTTTGATATGATGTTTTCTTTAACTCCAGAAAATGCACAACATAGAAAATGGAACGTTAAGAAACACAATTCAGTGGCACGCAGCTTAGCTAGCTTTCCTGACAGCTTGCATGCTAGAAGGATCAATCTCAACACGAGAAAATTTGTGATGGAAGCTAGAGGTTTTTCATAAACAAAAGGCAACTGTAGTGAAATCATTTTCATAAAACTCAGTTTCACAAGAGTCATAACTTCCACGGTATTGAAATGTTATTATAAGTACCATGTTTAAATATGTTCTTTGCAATTATTCCTTCTCCATGTCCGCACAGAAAGAAATTATTATCCTACTTCTGTGCCTAGGAAGTTACCTGAGTAATAGCTTCTTGTCAAAATGAGAGAGAGGAAAAAAAAAAAAAAAGAGTTGTTAAGGTCACTATTTTCTTCAATAGTGATGTGTTCCTAATAGCTATGGGGGGGGGGGCAGGGGACGGATGGACACTACTTTCTCTTAAATTTATCCTGTTCCACTATTTTTTATGTTTCTATGAAACAATATTAACTTTGCAGTCAAGATTAAATGTTTGTTTACCAGCAACAGCAAGAAGCAGTGCATTTCTGGATTACCGTTTGTGGTGGTGTTTTTAAAGCTGAAACTTGATTTCAGAAGAATTAGATATGGCAAACGCAGGGACACTGATGACCCAGACACTGAGAAGGGTGGATATGCTACCCTCCAATTAGAGCATCCCAGACCTAATACCACAGGGCAGCAGTCATGGGAGCACTGTGCAGCCCCCATGACAAGAAATACGCACCCAAGTATCTTCCGAAACACTTTAGGCACAGCATTAACATTCCTTGATACAGTGTATCTGTTAAATCTATTAGCATATCTAATTTTCTGTGTAGGTTATGGATTTAACAGGCTGACTGCTATACTTTCTTTGGCCACGCAGTGTGCTCACTGACACGTGAGAGGTTTTATAGAATGTGATGGTGACTTACTCCAAGCTGTTCTTTTCCTGAAAAAAAGGCCATTTTAGTCAGACGTTGTACAACTGCCACTCTTTCAAATAAAAATAAAAAAACTCCAATGGCCTAACAACAACAAAACAAGCAAGCCTGAGCATCTAAAAATGTACATTGGGATCAACTGCTTTAAAAAAAAAATTTAAAAAAAATCAAAGCCCTGTTAAAAACGTCATCTCAAAATTAACACTTGCGCGCTGGAAAAGCATAGCACGTTGTTTCTGTTTTGAAGGGACTAAATGCAAGTCTGCTACTCTTCTGTACTCTATTTGTGCAGTACCATGTTTTTGTACTCGTATTTTGTAAACCATTAGGTAAGCATTTTAAACAGCTGCGCTTATGCTTACTGCAACTCAGTTCATACTTGCAAACGGTCAAGCGGGAGTTGGAGGCCATTCTTCCCTTTTCCCCGTGGGTAAGGCGGCAGACAAAGCCAGTGTCAGCAGGTGGACCCCAAAGGCCCTGGGCGGAGGTTGGGCAACGGGTTACCTCAGACCGCAGCTCGCGGGGCCGGGCCGCGAGGGGTCAGCGGCTCCCCGCTCCCGGCCGCGCTCACTGCAGGCCCCTCCGTGAACACACCGGGGGCGCTCCCGGGCGGTTCGTTTCAGCGGCGTTACGACAACACGCGTGTGTTAGTTCCCCCCCCCCCCCCCCCCCCCCCCCGCCCCCCGCGCGC